ACACTTGGGGTTCATCGAGCATGTAACAAAGGAACGGATCATCTGAGAAAGGAATGGATCGACTAATAAAGGAAACGATCAAGTGTCAAAGGAATATATCATACAGAAGTGGGTTTGGAGCAACTAGAAGAGGATTGGAGCACTTGGGAGTGATATCGAGCAACAAGGGATCATTGTTGTGCCATATGATAAAGGGATGGGCCATGAGTGATGATCTTGTACCATGGCACTATTTATTGTGCCATTATGTTCATTCTTGCACCATGAGGCTTTTTGTTACACCATGCATGGCCTTGTTGCGCCATGCATGTTCTTGTTGCACCATGTGTGTTGCTGATGCTTATGAGTTGTATGAAATGGATGAATGTTTCGGAAGATTATGCATGGGGGATTGTGATTGGTAGACACCTTTCATGGGCCTATGGTCTAATGGGCTTAGCCTATTATGGTTTTAGATCTAATCCTGAAATTATAAATAGGGATGCATGCTAGGTCATTTTGTATCTTAAATTCTAGAGTGATACGTGAATCTCTATGTAATTGTACTTGTAACCTCTTTTTGAGAGCTCTGAAATAAAAGAATACTCCCCTCCTTCCTGTGGACGTAGGTCACTTTGACCGAACCACGTAAATACTGTGTGTTGTGTGCTTATAGTTTTGCTAGTTATCCGCTTTACTTCCTAACAAGTGGTATCAGAACTACAGTTTGTATTCCTGTGATTGAAGATGTCTACTCACAAGTTTGATGCAGAGAAGTTCAATGGTTCAAATGACTTCACTTTGTGGAAGGTGAAGATGAAGGCTCTTTTGGTTCAACAAGGATGTGCTGAAGCACTGGAAGGAGAGGCGAAATTGCCAAAGGACATGGCGGCTGATAAGAAGGTGGACATTCTGATGAAGACACATAGTGCCATACTATTGAGCTTAACAAATAAAATACTGAGGGATGCCGTTGATCAAACAACTGCTTCTGGGCTTTGGGATAAACTTGATGACAAGTACCAGAACAACGCACTGATGAACAAGTTATATTAGAAGAAAAGAGTGTACACTCTTAGAATGTTTGAAAGTACCCAAGTGAAAGATTATCTGGATAATTTCAATCGCATCATCTTGGATCTACAAGGTGTTGACGTGAAGATTGAAGATGAAGATAGGGTACTCATCCTCTTATGTTCTCTTCCTAACTCATATGAGAATTTCTTTGATACCATGCTCTATGGTAGGACAACGATAACTATGAATGATGTAAAGTACTCTATGATATCCAAGGAATTGAAAAGAAAAGTTTCAGTTGGAGAGGAGGTGTCCAGTTTCGGTTTGTTTGCAGGTAGAGGGAGGATAAAAGAGAGGAAGGGGGAAACAGAGGGATATGACATTCAAAATCTAAGTCTAACGGTTCATCGAACATGAAACGTTATAAATGTATGGAGAAGGGGCACTTTAAGCGAAATTTTCCACAACTGAAGAATATCAAGTCCAAGAGTGAATCAAGCAGCAATAACACTGCTATAGTGGTTCATGATAGTTCCAATGAAGGGAGGATGGTGATGTACTGAATGTATGTACATCGAGTTCTACTGATGCTTGGGTCTTGGATTCTAGAGCATCCTATCACATAACGTATAATTGTGACTGGTTCTACTCCTTTAAAGAGTGGGATGGTGCAGTTAAGTTGGGTGATGATTGGGCGAGTAGCATCAAAGGTAGTGGCACAATACAAATCAATATGCATGATGGCATGGTCAGGAAGTTAGATTGCTGGTACGTTCCAGAACTTCATACAAATTTAATTTCTATTGGCATATTAGCTAAGAATGGGATGAGGTATGCCAGTGAAGGTTACTCGGTCAAAGTGACAAAAGGTTCTCTTATTTAATGAAAGGGAAGATGAATCATGGAGGGATATATATATATATATATATATATATATATATATATATATATATATATATATATATATATATATCCTAGAATGCAATATGGTTATGGGAACGGTGGCTATCTCCCAATCCTTAAATGAAGGTGATGACAAGACAGAGTTGTGGCATCATAGGTTGGGGCACATGAGTGAGATGGGCATGCTAGTTCTAAGTAAACAAGGACTTCTTGGTGGAGAGGCTACTAGACATAAATCATGAGTGAGATGAGTTTAAGATGTTAACCTTTACTAATTCAATAAATGCTAATATCAAGGCTCATAAATCATAAGCACCAAACATACTAAACACACACACACACATACACACACACACACACACACATATATATATATATATATATATTAAATTGGTTGGTATGGTACTACCGTGGTATTGAAAACTTTATACCACTACCGTACCATGATTTCACAATTGGTAAGGTACTACCAACTAAACATGTTGGTTACCAAACATATTGGTTGTCAACATTCTTGGTTCAATTGGTAACATGTTGATTGGTTTTCTGTGGTACATATTTTCCAATGCTACTAAAAGGTGTTGGTGCTATGGAGAGCATGTTTTTCTAGCCTTTAGTGTCATAAGGAGCTTAAAGGGTTAAGTTAGTAACTTAACCCTAATAATTGTAGTAGTTTATATTTTATGCAAAATCCCTAATTTTCAACTCTTATTAAGCCAAGAATTAAGACCTTTAGTTTAAGTTTAATTACACATCTCAATATTCTAATATGTAACCAACAATCATGTTAAAAGTTCTAAGCTTAAGGCTTAACCATTAAGTCCTTAATGGAACACCACAATTTTCCCAACTATGTCCTCCAACTTCTAAAATTCATGCAAGGAAATAAGAACACCCAAAAATCATGAGACTTAGTTTTATGGAAATCTTAGTGTGTCTAGTTTCTTCAAACTTTGAATCACATTTCAAAACTCCTACCCCTTGGAGGGTAAAATTGTCAATATTCTTAGAGTAGTCTATGATGTCGTAGATTTCATGAATTGTCTTCTAAAAATCATAGTAAATTCATTATGACTCTAAATGATAAAATTCTAGATCTTATAGTTAGATACAAATGTCTAGTTCCTTCCATATCAAGGGATTGATGTAATTCCTAGTATATTTGTACAGTTTATTCAAAGAGTGCAAAGTGGTGTGGTAAATGATTGAAATTATACATCAACTTGTGACATGCATAATTAATTTTATAAAACCCCAATTCATGAAAATGCAGAGGATACGGTTAGGGTGTGATGTCTAGTTTACCATGAATGTTTCCTAAGATGTAACTTTTAATCCTACCTGGGTAAAAGTTACCTCCATTGTAAGTGTGTCAAGAATGTGACAGCTACCAAGTTGCTAACTTGTAAAATTAATATAAAATCAATCAAAAATATTAGAAAAAGAGCTTTCAATATCAAGGGATTGATGTAATTCATAGTATATTTGTACGGTTTATTCAAAGAGTGCAGAGTGGTCTGGTAAATGATTGAAATTATACATTAACTTGTGACATGCATAATTAATTTTATAAAACCCCAATTCATGACATGCAGAAGATATGGTTAGGGTGTGATGTCTAGTTTACCATGAATGTTTCCTAAGTCATAACTTTTAATCCTACTAGGGTAAAAGTTACATCCATTGCAAGTGTGTGAAGAAAGTGACAACTACCAAGTTGCTAACTTGTAAAATTAATATAAAATCAATCAAAAATATTAGAACAAGATCTTTATATTTTGGAAAGGTAATAGAGGGAACTATATGAATATAATTTTATCATAACCTAATTATGACATTAAAGGTAAGAAATCAGTCCCTGAATAGAACACTATAATCAAATAAAAGTTAAAGTAATACAACGATCCGTATTTTGTAGTATAGTAAGTAAATGTTATAATTATTGTGTTGGTGTTTGGAAAGGATGAGATTCATTTATGTCTCGCAACTAGAGTCTTTCATTTTATCAAGAGAAGTGAGTTACATTAACTCTCCAATTATGTAAGAATTACTTATTTTATGTTATTGGTCATGCATACCCTAATCTGTTAGAGTGAGCAAGGAAAGGCATAATGTAGTATGTTCTCTAGTGAGACAAGGTCCAATCTTATTTCTTATTTCCATATTAGGGAGTAGGGGATAGTTCTCAATAGGGGTAACAAGGTTATTGTTGGTACCAACAATATGTGCTAGGAATGTTTATTTTTATGTGTTATGTTTTTATGAAATGTTATGCTATGTGTAAGTAAGTGTTTTATATAATTATAGAGTAATGTGTATGCTCAATATGAATTATGCTTACCCGTTGTTATTTTACATTTTTTTAGGATCGACAGGTACTAAGAATGGAAAGAGACTGGCGTGAATGCAAGCAACGTCCTCTTAATGATTTTTATGTTATTATCATGATGTTTTATTAAACCTGGGATGTTTTTTTTTACCTCCGCTACATTTTAAATTATTTTTTATACACTCTAAATATTGTTTGGAAAATTTAAAAGAGTAACAATGGGTTTTCACTTTATGTTTAAATTATATTAATAAAAATTTGGATCGTTGTATAGTACCTATGAATATTAGTTACCACTGTTTGTATACTTTCATCTTATGAGAGTCAACCAATCAAATTCATATTTTTCTTACTTCGTAAGCGTAAATGTCACTATAACCCATTCAACTATTGTCATTTATCCTATTTGGTAACTAAAATATTTTTTTTGCTCAATAGGTCATTAAACTTACAACTTACATGTCTATTAAGTCACTTTCATTAGTTTTTAACAAATCTTCCGTTAACCAGTTATTATAATTTACATGAGTGGTCCCTATGATTTCAATTTCTTTTGTGGTTGGTCATTTACTAGCATCGCTTGTCACCTGCACCACTACTATTCTTGAACATGTTGTAAAGTTGCTTGTTCTTGAATATTGGAACTACCTGACCCGTTTTTTTGTCTTCTGGTCGATGTAAAGGTCTTTGTCTGAACCCGTGGATCTCCGAAATCTCATAGTGTCACCGGCTTTTAATTTCTTGTCCTTTACAAATCAGCTCCAACCTTTGGTTAAAATGTAGCTCTGGCTACTATTAAAGTATGAGTAACGAAATCACGAAATCTCCATACTTTCATCCTGATGTCTTCGAAATGTAAAAGAAAACCTTTGGAAGTGCTTCTAGTTTGCAACGAGAAGTGATTCTCTGCATGCTGATTTATATCACTAACCGGTTTAGTTTTCCAATGTCGTTGGGGGTGACTGTCTTCTTAAAAATTTGTTACCGGGTGTTAACCAATTTGTCACACGATCTAAAGTGTTTTGTAAAAAGGGGTTTTGTTTAAGCTGTAGCTTCTCTTACTTTGTTCTAGTTCATCATTGTATATGTGTTTCCTCAACATATCGACGATCTCAACTTTTGAATGAGAATTCAAGAAACTAGCTTCCAAACCCGCTTCATCAGTGTCAAGAACCATGCTGCCCCTACTGCCGATCAGTGGAGGCGTAGTCACTGGTGCTGCAACTATTGATGTTGTTTCTGTAGTTGTACTTTGATCATCAGTGGAACTTCCTTCCATTGTAATTAGTGTTCTTGAAGAAGAGAGGAGCAGGAAGAAGAATGAGGTTCTATATATAGAGACAGAAATATTATGTATATGAATTGGATGTAAGAGAAAGGTTGATTATAATAATTGATGGGGTTGCCCAATGTGAAGGGTGGTGGTTGTTAGAATTGAACGATGGTGACGTCGGTGATGAACTATGCTGGTATGGGACCAACCACGAAAGAAATTCAAATCATAGGGACCATTTTTGTAAATTATAATAACTGGTTAACGGAAGATCTATTAAAAACTAACGAAAATTACTAAATAGACATGTAAGTTGTAAGTTGTAAGTTTAATGACCTATTGAGCAAAAAAAAAAAAAAAAAAAAAAAACTTTAGTGACCAAATAGGATAAATGATGATAGTTGAATGGGCTATAGTGACATTTACTCTACTTCATAATTGCTCCCACACTTATGACCGACTTTGAACTTTTAGAATAATTATATTATTTATGGATTAACATGTTCATATAGAACACAACAAGTATCAATGTGAAGATCATATCCCAATATATCAAAACAGTATGATAGTTGTTGTCACAATGTTCCAATATCCAAATGCTAAATTCAAATCAAATCTCATTTCTAGAATAACAAAGACCTTTAGCTATAGCTTGATCTTTCATACTTAGCATAAAGAAGGACTTTATTAATGGATCTAGTTAAATTTAATTTTTGTGAATTCTATGAATACGAACATCTCCATATATATCTTTTTTCAAAGTACAATCAAATATCTTAGAGAATATGACTGGTGTTCTGATGTGACATAGAGTTTCTTAGGTTGATTAAGTATATTCTTGAAGTCACAAAATATTTCTAGGCCATCCTTTAATGGAAGGAATCAACTAGTTTTTCAATGAATTTCTTCATACAATCATATTTGATTACAACTTCTGAAGTAGTGGTGTATTATAATTTTGTAGTAGACCATGCAATTATGTTTTGCTTGGACCTCATTCCAACAAAACTCTTTGTTCAATCTTAATGAATTTAGAACCCAATTATAGTTCATAATTATACTAATTTGTTTTGAAATCAGCATCTTGTGTGTCTCTTTACATAAAGATCTTCTTCTAACCGATTAACTCATCTACATTCTCTCAATTCTTCTTAAGTACTCTTAGAATGTCCTTATAGTCACATGATGACTTTTCCATGTATCTTATTAGTATCTTATGATATGTTTACAAGATAAAAATAAGCCTATTCTTGTGCATAATATGGCATAAATTATGGATTCATTTGTTCAAAGAACATAGAATATAAATCATTTTCTCTAGCTTAAATCTATGTGTTAGGTCCTTCTTTAGGCAAGTTCAAAATGGTTCCCTATGACACTGCCTAGATTTGTTCAAAGGAATCTTGTATCTTGATCTCTTTCAAGATCTTGTCTATATATGCATTAAGATTTAAAACTTTAACATTCATCTTTTTTTTATCTCTATAGATTTTACATTCCAAGAATGTATCTTGTCTTTCCTAAATCTTTCATCTTAGAAACACTTTTTGAGTCAAGGTAAAAGGGTCTTGCATAGTTAAAATAGACTTTCTTATTTCTTAAGACCTTTGAACACCTAAAAGGTTTTAGACTTATGTTAATTAACCTAAACATGTACAAGCCTTTTGATGGTAACAAAGTTGGTTTTATCATGTATTGTGGTTAATCTGAATCGTCCATTACTATGAACAACTTCCAACATATATTCATATTACCAAGTGATGTTTTCGTCACCTATCTTGGTAAATAAGATTTTTATTTTTCATAAGACCCATGGTCAAATGATTTCAAATATACTATCTAACTAGATACTTAGTGTAACACCCGTGTTTCTAGGCTAATCATTAGTATGATGATGTAATAGTTAGGATCAACAATTGTAACCTATTTTGAAGTAATAAAGAGGAATTACTTGAATATCATGTGAATTATATGATTTTATGTGCATTATACTTTTCATAAGATATAATAAATTAAGAATGAAAATAAGCATCAAAAATAAAATAAAATAATAGATAAACCCAATATCTATGAAGAAAGTTGTAGTGGTCGTGACAAGGATTCCGAAGATATAAAGAATGCCGAAATCCAAGTTATAACGAAGAAGTTATTGTTGGATTAATGTCTAAGTCCATAACTATAATTGGTAAGACTTGACCCGACCCGGCATGGTCCATTTGGGTTGCATGGCATCATGCACTTGGATAGACTATAATGAGAGAAATAAGACACTTATGGTTATTAATATATTATAAGTTCTAGTATATTAATAATAAGAATAATGAGATTATTTAATTACTATTGATCAAGAATTAATCTACGATTAATTAAGTGATCAAAAGAAGACTAATTAAGTATATGGGTTGATTGTGTAAATCATCCATACTTGTATAGTGGGCTAATGCTCCATGGATAATCAAGTTGGGCTAAAACCCATAGGATGGTCCATGGATGCTCCATGGTGTATTTGAACCCATGGATCCAAGGAAATGGAAAGTCATGACAATTAGGGTTTACCCTAATTGTAACACTATATAAAGATCTTATTCTTGACAAAATCGGCACTAGTATGATTCAAGAGAGGGCTAGCCGATTTCATGAAGTGTAGAATTCTATCAAGTTATTCTAAGTGTATTTGGTGTTGTGTGAACCATTTGAGGTGTCACACTTGGGGCACTAGGCACTCAAGCTTCATGAAGACAAGCACTAACAAAAGGTATGTTATTCTAACTTGTGTTATTCAAAGTTTAGTATGCTAGAATAGAACAATACCTTGGAAAGTTGATATTTGCATGTATATTACAGAAAACATAGATCCAAGGTATTTAGGGTTGCATGTACACTTAGGAGTGTTAGAATGCTCATAACCCAACAGTGGTATCAGAGCCTAGGCTTGTTTTCTTGTTATACCTGCAATAGAAGCTGAAAAAACGAATTTGTTGCTGTCTGATCATAAGACTCGGCGAGTCCATCAGGAGACTCGGCGAGTCCATGCCTAAAATGTGATCAATTCGATCCAACTTGCCGAGTTGGTTCATGCACTCGACGAGTTGGACCCCAAACAACATATTTTCGAGGTTTTTGGCTAGAAATGGACTAGGAACATTACCCTAAGTTGTTTTTGAACTTATAAACTTGTTTTTTAATGTGGTAATCTTCATGCTATTCCATTTTCAAAGATAATTGTCAATAGATTCATGTTTTGTATTAGTTTAAGGTTTAGACTAATTACATGAAAAAGTTTGATTTGAATTATCTTGTTCTTATGAGTTGCTTAGATTAATAGAAAAGTTAATTGAAATAGTTGCTTTCAATCCATTTTAATCTAAGAGTTGAGTATAAAATGTGTTTGTGTAACTTGTCCTCAAGTTACATGAAGAGTCACATTAAAGACTCATAAAACTCATAAAAGTTGGTAATGGTTACAAAATGAAGAGTCTTGTGTCATTGAATATTTTTTTTATGACTCCATAACTTGTCCTCAAGTTATGGAAGTTCAAGAGTCACTTCATTAAAGAGTAAAAGTGTGACCTTAATTAATTCCATAAGTTATAAAAATAAAGAAAAGTTAATTCTTTTATTAGTTTAAAGTCTTCCATAAGTTATGGAACTTGAAGAGTTTTTGGATTAAAACTACTTTAAACACATAAGTTATGGAATTAATTAGTTTTGAATAGTTTCAAAACTTGCCCTCAAGTTTTGGAATTTGTAAATTTTTCTCTTATGAATACTTTAATTCCAAGTTAGCCCTTAGAATTTTAAAAGTTAAAATTCAACCCTTATACTTTATAATATTATAAGTTAATAATATATATATATATATATATATATATATATATATATATATATATATATATATATGTATAAGAGTAAAGTCAGTCTTACCGCTAGTACGCCTCATTCACGAAGCCGGTCTATAAGGTAGGTATAAGGTTGTTGCCTATAAAATGGCAACTTAATGGGTGTCCACTCTCACCCACTGCTTGCTTGACTGGTGGAGGGTCATTAGCCGAACGGGTTTGACAGGACTAGAATTCTCCCTTCATTAATAGTATTAATGATAAATACTAAGTAACTAAACTCTTAATAATACCCAATCTTAGTTACTTAGAAAAATGTGAATAAGGTGCTAATCCATTAAATTACACTTTGCACTTTGTTTAAGTCAGTTAGTGGAGCGTGTGTGGTTAACCGGCACACTAAATCGTATTTAACAAGGTAGGCAAAGGGTAACTTAATGTTTATCATAGTATCGATGGAGTGTTTGTGGTTAACCGGCACATCGATTGAGGGGTAAACACTTAAGGGTACCAAGTAATTTGCATGGTTACTTCACACCTTGTTTTGTGATACTCGGCATCCCAGTCACAAAACCTGAAGAGCACACTCGAGATTGAAACATGCCATTGAATAGTTAAATGAATCTCAAAATATCTAGGAGTTTCAAAACCAATTAAAACCTAATAATACATTTCGTTTTTCATGGTGGAAATTGGTGAATCATCATTCACCTACCTTCAAATATTTTATAGCTTGGATTACGGCATCCCTCTTCTAAGTTATAAAATAGTTTTTTGGGTCCTAGCCTTAATATTTCATATTGGGTGTCATATTAAGGACCTTAAGATCAACTATCTTGAATATCTCCCAAACATGTCTGGTTTAGACATTTATGATCTTCCCAAATTTCTTGAAACAAGCTTTCCTAAATGAAGATGATGTTCCATGGAAATCATACTTCTTTCACCTCCTCCAATTATTCTCCCTAACCCACAAGTTCTTGAAAAGTTTAAGGTCACTCAATCCCTATTGGCAAGGCAAGGTCTAGGTGTGATCACATTTTGGAGATGTAGTCACATATTGACAAGTCGGGAGAGTTGGGTGTCAAAGTCTTGAGAAAGTTGGTGGTTCAACTACTTTCTAAGTCACATAGTGAGTTCTTTTGGAACACCTATGAAACAGACTAT